CGATAAGCACTTATTATGACATAATGATGATCTTTCTATTCTCCTTCGATTGTATTTTTTTTTTTGTTATCTTTTTTCTTTGGTTTTTGTTTTTTTTTTCCTTTTTTTCGTTTTCGATTTTTTTCCTTTTTTTTCTTTTTTTCTTTTCTTTTATGTTATTTCTATTCGTCGTAATCGTGCATCCTTCTATTTTTTTTTTTTTTTTTTTTTATTCATTTACACATGAAAAACAATTTCTTAGATATTTTTCTTTTCCCTTGATTCATTATAATAATGATAATAATGATAATAATGATAATAATGATAATAATTATAATAATAATAATAATAATAATAATAATAATAATAATAATAATAATAATAATAATAATAATAATAATAATAATAATAATAATAATTGTTATAATTATTATTATTATTATATATTATATAAAATAGTAACAATTATTATTATTATTGTTTTATATTGATTTTTATATATATACATATATTTTATATTAATTATTATTATTATTATAAAAAAATAATATTAATAATAATAATAATAATGATAATAATTATTGTAATTATTATTATTATTAGATATTATATAAAATAGTAATAATAATATTATTATTATTATTTTATATTGATTGTTTATTACTTTATATCATTATTTCTTACTATTTTATATTTATATTTATTGTTGTATATATGCATATATTTTATATTAATTATTATTGTAAATTAATTATTATTATTATTATAAAGTAATAATACTAAAATAATAATAATAATAATAATAATAATAATAATAATAATAATAATATTAATGATAATAATAATTGTTATAATTATTATTATTATTATATATTATATAAAACAGTAATAACAATTATTATTACTATTGTTTTATATTGATTTTTATTACTTTATATTATTATTTCTTATTATTTTATATTTATATTTATTTATATATATATATATATATACATATATTGTATATTAATTATTATTGTAAATTAATTATTATTATTATAAAATAATAATAATAAAAAAAACAAAATAATAATAATAATAATGATAATAATAATAATCGTGTTCATTATTCCAAGCTTAAAGAACATTCGATATTTACGATGAGAAAGTCTAAGCATATTTACTATCTATTTCGTCCTTGAGATATATAAACATATGTATAGATGAAATAAAAATGTTACCAACGATATTTATAGATTCTCTCTTCGTCTGATTAACTTTCATTCAATGTACAATATAATTCAATCTATGTTCGATTGTATTCAATATAAATAATAATATAAATATTATTTTTATAGTTAAAGCTACTACGCTTTACGGTGCACCGCCATGTCCCGATCCGTACGGTGTACACGCATATGCTCATCCAGAGGATTGCAATAGTTTTTTCTTATGTACGAATGGCACGTTGACACTCGAACATTGTGAAAATGGTTTACTTTTTGACGGACACGGTGCTATACATAATCATTGCAATTATTATTGGGCCGTTAATTGTGGACACCGCCAGCACGATCGTAATTATATCTTAACAAATATTATTTATACCAATTAAAACATTATTGAAATATTTCTCAAAGATATATTAATGTTACATTAATATAAATTAGAGGGGAGAATTTCTTTCTCCCCTTTTTTTTTCTTTCTTCATATGAAAGAAAAAAAAATATGGTAAATAATAATAATAATAATAATAATAATAATAATAATAATTAATTTACAGTTACACCTTTGAGCTCGCCTGGTTGCGAATTTCAATTTGGACTTTATCCCGATAGTGATACCTGTAGCACTACGTATATCAAATGTGTACATGGACATCCACTTCAAGAACATTGTGATGCTGGTTTGGCTTACGATCCGAAAACTCATACTTGCGTATGGCCTGATCAACTTTTGCCATATTGTAATCCGGAAGCCATTGTTGGTTTCAAATGTCCCCATAAAGTACCAGCACGTAGTGCTGCAGCTAAGTTCTGGCCTTTCCCAAGGTACGATATAAATTCAATTATATGATTTTTTTTTTCGTTCGTTGTAATCATTCGTAGGCATCATTCGTTGTAATCGTTCGTTGTAATCGTTCGTTGTAATCGTTCGTTGTAATCGTTCGTTGTAATCGTTCGTTGTGAATATTCATTGTAATCATACGTTGTAATCTTTCGTTGTAATGATACCTTGTAATAATTTATAAAGTATAGAGATGTATCTAGGATGAGGAGGAGGATAGGGGAGGGGGAGGGGATGGGGTTAAGTAAGGCTTAAATATTAATGCCCGAGATGGAAAATAATATTTGTAATTTAAGAAAAATTTCAATAAGAATTTTTGTCTACAATCAAAATTATATTTAACGATATAATAGAAAAGAAAATATTAAATTGGAATAATATTTTTAATCTATTTTAACGATTTCTCATAGTTATTAGAAAATTATCTTAAAATTATCTTAAAGTTATATACCCTTTGCTGTTATCATAATTTTTGAGAATTATTTTATAATTTATCATAAAGACGTATCCATCGTGTTATCGTAATTTTTGAACGATCATAACTAAAAAAGATAAGAAAGAATCTTTGAAATGTAACAATTTTTTTAAAAATGCAAAAAAGAAAAAAAAATATTTTTTATACCAAAAAAAAAAAAAGAAAAAAAAATATTCTGAATGAACTTTTGTTAATTGAATTCTTTCGAAAGAAAATGTTCATTACGGAATGTTCATTTTTTTCTTTTTCTTCTTCTATTTACGTATATCGTATACGTTCGTAGATATTTTTCAAATTACGTTTCATCCTATCGTCAACGTCCGATTCGTCAATTTTCTTCTGAAACGCATGAAATTTTCTCGTTAGATTCCCGGTGCCTGGTGACTGCGGTAGATTGATAACTTGCGTCGAAGGACATCCCCGTCTTTTGACATGCGGCGACGGTAAATTATTTGATTCCGTTAGTTTGAGCTGTCTCGAACCTGAAGAACTACCACATTGGTACGTACAAAATAAAAATAAAAATAAAAATAAAAACAAACATAGCACAAATTATAATAGGCAAATTAAAATGTTTTCATTATAATTATCCTTTATAATATTAATTATAATATAATAATAAATAATATTTTATTTTTCAGTGCCAATAGCCTGTAATAGTTCGATCGGTTTAATTACATCATACACGTGTAATGGAATCTTTTTTCTTCATTTTTCCTTTCATTTCTTTTTTTTCCCCTATTTTTTTTTTCCTTTTTTTTTTTCTTATTTTTTTTTTTATAAGAAACATGACACACTGTACATGAAGAAGAAGAAGAAGAAGAAGAAGAAGAAGAAGAAGAATAATAATAAGAAGAAGAAGAAGAAGAAGAATGTGAACGTCTTACGTCATAGTTACAACTACGACGTAAATAATTACAACGGATGAAAAATCTAATATCTATTTTTGATGGTGGCAAAATAAAATATATCGATGAAATATGGCCATTCATCGTATTGGGCTATAAATATAGATGTATCAATATTCGTTATAAAAATTATCTGTAATATTTTCTATTTAATGATTGACAAATTGAAATAAAAATCTATTAAGGGTTACATCAACGTACGATTAAGATAATTGTCATAATAATTTGTCATAATTGTCATTGAACCAATCACACCAATACAATCACAATTTCTTATATCCTTTGCGTGTTAAAATATAAACGAACTAATAATAATAATAATAATAATAATAATAATAATAATAATAATAATAATAATAATAATAATAATAGTAATAGATATTAATACTTGGAAAAAAAATTTCTCGATATCATACTTCAAGGTCTCTGAGGTCGAGAATATATTACATTCATACCATACATACAATATTACAACGTGTTTACGTATTGTTGTTACGAGCAATATCGACAAAAAAGAAAACAGATAAAAAAAAAAAATGAAAGGCCGTAATACATTTGCCTTGACAATTGTTCGATAAAGTTCGATAAAATACGAACACATAGTTTATTTTTAATCGAACTACCGTAGTATAGTTTTGTTATAGTTTTTTGAAAAAAAAAATATATATATATATACATATATATATATATATATATATACATATATATATATATATATACATATATATATATATATATATATATATATATATATATATTTAGGTGCTGGGAAAATCGTGGAATGAAACGTTTAGCGGCGTCTAAAAAAAATATACAATATACAGTTTATTTCATGTATTTCTACATCGAGCAGGTGTAATTGCGTTTGAACATTTTTAATACGATTAAAAAAATGGTAGTGTGTGGGAGGGGTAATAGGAAGGAGGAGGAGACGAAGGGCAGATAATAATAGTAGGGAAATGGCTAAAAGGAGAAATATTTACACATCTTCACCAAGGGATGAACGTGGGAGCGAATGATGAGGGGGAGGGTTTTGTGTTTGTTGAAAAAAAAACAAAAAAAAAACAAAAAAAAAAAAAAAAGAAAAACAAGGAAGAAAAGAAAAAAACAAGAAGAAAAAAATAATACGAAAAACAAGGAAAGATAGAAAGGAAGAAACTTAACGATCTAACGCTCAATCATGTATACGCTATTACCGAAGGTAATATATAAGTTTCGTTTACTTGCGGAACGAGGACATTAAAGAAAAAAATTAAAATAAAATAAAAACAAAAACCGTGGTAAAGAGGGCCCATAGGGGGTGGGGGATGGGTGGTGATGGATTAGAGACATACGGGAGAGATACAATTTCTCTCGAAAGTAATCACTATTTTTCAATAATTCTATAATGATTTCAACCCCTAATGTTTCGATGCTTTTACGACGTAATGGAAGAGAAAATAATAAGTGTACGAGAGAGAAAAAAAAGAAAAAAAGAAAAAGAAAAAGAAAAAGAAAAAACGAAAAAAAGAAAAAAGAAAAAAAGAAAACATTATAATTTGGAAGCTCATTCTCAAAAGCGTGTAACTTTCATCGTTCTTTTCGTATCGTCGTTCATGTGTCCGTCTTTCTGCGTTTGTGTGCGTGTCTGTGTGTGTGTGTGTGTGTTCTTTCTTTTTTTTTCCTTTCTTTTATCATATTCTTTTTGTTTTTTTTCTTTTTCGTTTTTTCTTTCAAACCATACGACGGAACGATTTAAAATTAATTTCTAGGACGTGCTCGAAGGGGAATTGGTAGGGCACCGGCCGGAAGTGGCGGTACGCCAGGCGGTAAATTTTCTTCTTCGGGTTCTTGCTCGATTCTACCATCTTGCAAATCCCCATCCAAACTGGGTTGCGTCGTTGGTACGTCACAATCCTCGGTAGGTGGTACGACGCATCTCAATGATCGTCTATCGAACACCAACATGGCTGGGCATCTTTGTAAACGTGGATAACCACCTTGGCATTGCCAATAACGATTGCAAGACTTTCCTAATGGTACGTTGCCGTTAGCGTCGTCATTACAAAGTGCTGTAATACATATACACATATATATCATTAATTAATCGTTTCATATACATTAACACACACACACACACACACACACACACATATATGTAGGAAAAAGAAGGAAGAAAAAAAAACAAGAAGAAAAAATCAATGTACATAATCATTGTACAATATAATCATTGAAAAAATCAATATATATATATATATATATATATATATATATATATATACATTGATTAATATTCGAGATAAATAAGTAACTTACTTTAAGTTATAAGTAAGTAAGTAAATTACTTACTTTATATTACATGTCGTTTTGTTAAATATGTATATATATATATGTATATTTCATATATATATATCATATATAAATTTATATTATATATATATTTATATTATATTATATATAATATGTATATTTTTTACCTACGTATTTACATACTTGTCATTGTTTTATTGTATATAAATATATATAATATATATATACAATATATATATATCGTATATAAATTTATATTATATATATTTATATATAATATATATATTTATATTATATTATATTATATATAATATGTATATTTTTTACTTACGTATTTACGTACTTGTCATTGTTTTATTGTATCTAAATATATATAATATATATATATATATATATATATTATATTATGTTATATATATATATATATTATATTATGTTATATATATATATATATATATATATATATATATATATATATATAACAAAATGACATGTAATATAAATTAAGTAAGTTACTTACTTACTTACTTACTTACTTAATTGTCTCGAATTAATATATATATATATATATATATATATATATATATATACATTTAACAAAACGATATGTAATATAAAGTAAGTAATTTACTTATTTGTCTCGAATATTAATCAATGTACTCCTCTCTTTCTTTCTCTCTCTCTCTCTTTCTCTCTCTCTCTTTCTCTCTCTTTCTCTTTCTTTCTCTCTTTCTCTTTCTCTCTTTCTCTCTCTCTCTCTATCTCTCTCTCTCTCTCTCTCTCTTTCTCTCTCTCTCTCTCACTCATTTACTCTTTCCTCTCGAAATCTCGTTTTTCGATGGTGGAAGAACAAAAACAGAAAAAGAAAAGAAAGAAGGAAAAAAAGAGAAAAAGAACTGAAGGAAGGAAAAGAAACTAAAAGAATCGCGCGAAGGTTAAAGAAAAAAAAGAAAAAAAAGGGGAAAATAAAAAAGAGAGAAAAGATATCGAAGAGAAAGGCATAACGAGTCGAGATTACTTTCTTTTTTTTTTCTTTTTTCTTGTTTTCTCCTCCCTTCTCTCCCCCCCCCTCTCCACACTCTCTATCTCTCTCTCTTTTTCTGTCTTTCTCGCTCGATCAATGAGAAAATTTTTAACGAGATAATATATACAAGGTTCCAATACTCACGATGCTTTTGACAACCCTCGACATTCTCGGGCCAATCGCAGGACCGTGCCCTTTCGTTGTAAAGTAGACCACCAATGCACAATTGTTCGGTAGCAGTGCCATTCCAACAAGTCCAATATCTCGTGCAAGATGTCTCATGGCCGAATATACCATAAAGCCAATCGCAATGGTCCGCTGATATTGGTGGATTAGCTTGGCGTTTACCATCACAGTAATTTGCTCTCCATGGATAATCACAACCCTCTGTTACACCCCTATGTTTTCCAGCGAATACGAGACCATTAGGGCAATCAAATAATTCTGGTCTACCGTTAACGCATTCCCAATAACGATCGCAATATTCAATATCGCCGACCACTCTTGATTTTGTCTGACAAGGATCCTCCTGATGTTGTTTCTGACCGTAACATTCTGAAATATTTAATTCTTTTTTAATTATATGAACGATTATTATTATTATTATTATTATTATTATTATTATTATTATTATTATTATTATTATTATTATTATTATTATTATTATTATTATTATTATTATTATTATTGTTATTGTTATTTTATTTCTGTTTTTTTTTTTTAAACACGACGTTTGCGAAATCTTAAATCACGTTCCTCGTGATACCATCGTTAAGGATTCTCAAGGACGAAATGCGTAAAAGAGATGCCACGCATTTGCAATGTTTCATCATCATCGTCATCATCATCATCAAGGAAAACGTGTGTTTGTATACGTGTGTATTTGTGTGGGTGTGGATGTGTGTGTGTGTTTCTTTCGAATTAAAAATTTTCACACGTCTTTCTTTTTTCATTCCCTTGATTTTTTTTTGTCTTCTTCTTCTTCTTCTTTTTTCTTTTTTGATTTAACAACAAGTTTGAAAGTCACTCTCGATGAGTGCATAAATAAATTCATTAAACGTGTCATCGTAGTTGTTGGCGACGTCAACGTCGGCGTCCATGACATTATGAATATCGAATTATTTTTCTCGTTTTGTACTTTCTATGGTTATATTTTAAACTCAATGATTTATTCATACGTTTCTCAAGAAAAATTATTCTAAATATGGAGATGGTGTTAATAATTATTTAATTATTTTCGCCGTTCACATTTATATTGATCGTTGAAATTATCTTGGAATATTATTTTGGAATATTTGAAGGTCACAATGGAAATACGCGAAAATCGCAATATACATTTTTTTTTACGTGTTAACAAATTTTTTCTTTTCACATTGTAAATATTTATTAATAAATATGTCTTATAATGATTGATAATGAACCGATTGAAATTTGAAATTCGTAAAAAGTGTAAGGCAATTTTATAAATATGCCTTTTGTTTCGAATTTTTCCACAGATTGTAATTAAAATTTTTGTGAATTTTTTCAAAAAAAAGAAAAAAAAAAAAAAAAAAAGAAAAAAAGGAAAAAAAATTAAAAAAAAGAAAAAACAATAATAAACAATTGAGATCTAAAATCTTCGCGATGCTTTTTCATAAAAGAAAAATCGTAAAATTCGTCCGCCATATTGATAAAATATTGTCATTCGTTTATATTTTATTCCTAATTGAATCTTAATAAAAAAAAAAAAAAAAAAACCCTACATTGAATTCAATTAAATTTAATTATTTGACGTCGTTTTGAATAATGTAGAAAAATGATTTATCTCGAAATTGTGATCGTCCAAGTATCGTGAAAATTTTTTCATTAAAAATATCTTCTAATATCAACCGATCGAATAATTAAATAAAAAAAAGAAACAAAAAAAAAAAAAGAAAAGAAAAGGAATTAAATTTCTCAAATATACCACGTTTAATTGCGATAGATAATTAAAATAAATTATCTTTTTCCGAATGATTCTGAAGCAAACGTTGAAAAATAATTCTCACATCGTTATTTGATTAAGAATGTAAATACTTTGCGTATTTATGTAACGCATTTCTCTCTTAGATAATGTAATACGAATTAAATCGGAAATCAGGTATTCACTGACATTTTACAACTAAATATGTACGAGTGCGATTAGAAAAGATAAGGTAATTGAAAAAAAAAAGAACAAGACAAAAAAAAAAGAAAAAAGGAAAGGAATGAAGAAAAATGAAAAGGAACAAAACGAGTAGAAACAAAAAAAAAAAAAGAAAAAAAAAGAAAGAAATAAAATAAAAAGAAACTAGTATGACCATAGAGTGGTGAAAGTGTAACGAGTTTTGTCGCGAAATGTTAACTGGAAATCGTTGGAAAAAAAAAAATAAATAAAAAAAAAAAAGAAAAACGTTTACGTAAAGCGTACATAAATAAATAAATAAATAAATAGAGTGAGAGAGAGAGAGAGAGAGAGAGAGAGAGAGAGAGAGAGAGAAAATAGTTGTTATAGGATGTTCGATCAACGAGACTTGTCATTCTCGTCTGATATATATTAAATACTGCATCATATATTTAATAATGTCATTAACTTTTACATTCTCACATTGCGGTAATAAGAGTACGAACGCTTTCACCGAACGTGCTAATTTCCTTCCGACGTTAATGTATTTAAAAATTACGTTAATAAAACTAAATGAAAGTTGGATAGGCTTATTTGAAAACAGAAAAAAAGAAAAGAAAAGAAGAAGAAATATAATAATTGTCTTAATGGATTTCTTAATAGAAGAAAAGTAAATCTATATATATATATATATATATATATGTATGAACAAAATATATAGATAATATTTATTTAAAAATATTCACCAATAAAATTTCTACGACGAAACGTTCCATATCGAAAGTTTACGAGTAAATGCTAAATTTAAAAAAAAGAAAAAAAAAGAAGAAAAAAAACAAGAAAAAGAGATCATTTAATAAAACCTATGGCCTATGTGTTATCTTTAAATTTACGAATAAAAATATGGCCGACACAGGCGACTCAAGAAAACTACGATATTATTAGCAATGAAATGATTAAAGAAATGTATACAATAAAAAAAAGAGAAAAAAAACAAAAGAAAAATATTTGACTTTAAACGTATCTAAGGATAATTATTTAATTAATACGAATGAAAAATATCGTTCAATATAATTTATCAATTAATTACACGATACATAATAAAATCCCTTTAATGGTATCTAAGATGATTATTACATATGTACGCATGTAAATAATCAGAGTAAGGAAGTCGTGAAACGGGTGAACGTTCCAAAAAGATTAATATAATACGATCGATACGGCATTTCGTTTTAAAAATTTACACGAATAAAAGTATGTAAATAGTAATGTATAAGTTTAAGGTGGGAAGTCGGCCAGTATCTCGCTCCCAAGAGTGCGCTCTCTCGTGGATTATACGAGTGAAAGTTCCTAGCCTTGACTCGCAACCTTCGTGGCAAACCTCGCCTTGTATCTCGCCTCTCTCATCATCAAACTCTCCGGAATATTTACGGTATTAATATTAAAACTTTTAATGCCATTTTAAAAAAAGAAAATATATATATATATATGTTTTTCTAAAAATACTTTCAATATCTCGAATCAAATTGATTAATTATAATTTGTTCAACGAGAAGGAATCTGTCGATTTATAATGTTTTCTTTTTTTTTCTTATCGAGAAACAATCATCTCAATGAGAGTGAAATTGATTTTATTTTAATAAAAAATAAGAAGAAATTTAAACATATTCATACATGGAGTAAAAATTCAATTATTGATATAATCTATCTTTTAATCTATCTTTTAAATATACAAAAAAAATATATATATATATAAATATTATTTTTCTTTAAAATTGAAATACTTCGATCTAAAGTGATTAATGTAGAATATGATTAAGATGAAAAAAAGGAAAGAAATAAAAAAGAAATCAAGAAAATTCTCTATAATATATATAATATATTTTTTAAATATACACATATATATATATATATATATATGTGATATAGTATTTGTTTCAAAAATTTCAATATCTCGATTCAAATTGATTAATCAATAATCATCGATATAACAAATTTTATAATGCAAAATGATCTCAAGGAAATTGAAATTATTTTTTTACAATAAAGAGAAGAACATAACAACAATGACAAAACTAATGTAAAAAGTTTCATTTTTCTGCAAAATTCGAATAACTCGATTTAAATCGATTTAATCGTAAAAAAATCTATATTAAAATTTTCTGAATTTTTTCATTGAAAATAATCCATTTATGCTGGATCGATATCGATACGATAAATGAAATAGCAAATAGGAAAAAAAAGAATGAAAAACATATAAAAAAAAAAAAAAGAAAAAAAAGCAAGACTAGAGCAAAATATTCGATAGAGGTATGTCATTTTATATCGATAAAATGTTCTTTTATCAACATAATATTGACCAATCGAATAATGAAAAATGTCTATGCGAACAAATTTCTAAAAGCTCATCTACAAATTTCACACAATCAAACAATTATCTCTTCCCGTTGTGTTTTACATTGTTCGTAAATCAAAAAAAAAAAGAATAAAAAAGAAAAACAGAGAAACGAAAACTAAAACACAAAAAAAAAAAGAAAAGAATTGGGAAGAAAAGAAAAATAGAGATAGAAATAGAAAAGAAGAAAAAAAACAAGACAGAGAAAGAAAAAAAGAATGAAATAACAACAAAGACACATTTCAATAGAGTTCATTACACTTGAATATACGTATGTATTTACACGTATGTATGTATGTATGTATGTATGTAAGTGTATATGTATTCATATCGATGATATCAAAGGTGTTAAGGTCTAGCTCGGTTAAGCGCACGAACTATTACGGTCAATGACGATTTCTATGTATGTAACTTGAAGATTAACCTTCTTCATGATACTTTTGCAAGAAGAGTGACGTAAAAAAGAAAAAGAGAGAGAGAGAGAGAGAGAGAGAGAGAGAGAGAGAGAAAGAGAGAGATGATAAAATACATAAAAAGCATTTTACATCGTGCTCTTTCCAAAAGAAGAACCTTTCTAACTAATATACGTAAACACATCATATATATATATATATGTATATATATATATATATATATATATATATATATACATACATAATTACGTATAATATACGTAAACACATCATATATATATATATGTATATATACATACAATAAAGTCATTCAGTATTTTCATATGAATGAAAGATAACGATTCATAAAGATATAATACGAAACGTATCTTAAAAATTAATCGAATAATTTTAATTCAATTGAATGATTAATTTCTTCTTTCTTTGGCCTTTTTCTTCTTTTTTTTTTCTTTTTTAATAATTCCATCGGTAATGAAGAATAAATAAAAAAAAGAATTATTCGAAATAATTAATAGATAATCGTTCGAATTTTGTCCAATAAACAATTTTGTATCATTTATTTTCTTTTGTTTTCTTTTCTTTCTTTCTTTTTTTTATCGTCGATTTATGATAAAAAAAAAATATG